CACACATATATATATATATGTATATACATATATATATATATGTGTGTGTGTGTATAAATTATATGTATGTATGTATATATTTATAGATATATATATAGATATAGATATGTGTTTGTGTGTGCGTAATATAACATTTAACAAATTGAGTTATCTTCAGTTTGAGCTTCATCTTTGCTGCTGTGGAGAAATTTTATTTAGTGGGAGACAAACAAAATACACTCGTTGCTTCAGTAATCCTTTCACCATATAAATATTACACACACTGGAATTAGATTGACAATACCTTTTTGACATATTGTTCTAAAACAACATTAACTATGCAACAACGATTTCAGAACATCGAATGAATCCCTCTTGATGACAAAAATGACAGAGTATTTCCTCTATACACGCTCGTAAACATCGGTAAAACCCTGGCATGGTTTGTGTCGGCTTACAATGTTCAAGTGGCTTTCAGGGGGCTTCGATCATTTAGCTTACACAAGGTGAAAAGTTGACTCATTTTTACAACCTGCTGTCAGCCTCGTGTGCTGCTTAAAGCCAGCTGTTAGCCGTGACCTTGACCTGCGACGTCAGTTCACACCAACAACGCTCTGAGAAATTCTTTGTAACCTTCAAAGTTCTTATTTAAATTGTAGTTTTTACTGCTCAAACAGCTGTTAAACCATCCAAGTGTTTCAGTTCAGGAGATTTTAGGGTTTTGTACCCGCACACTCGCCTACATCAGATATTTTTAGGATATTTCTCTAAAAGGAGGACATGTGTTAAAAAAAACATCACTTATCGTAAAATGCCTGAATGTTTATGTATTTACAAAAACACACATGACATTTTATTGTGCTTATGCAGAAAGTGTATATGTTTTAACTGCACAAAATATTTTAAAACAACGAAAGATTCATTTTGTCTCAAATTTGTTTTTGAAGAGGACACGTAATAATGTTAACACAAATATTCACTAATTTGTACTATAAATACACAGAGATATCAGATTTATTTTAATTGAAAAAAAGGTGTGAATGTAACTTAGAATATAACTATAATAAATAAATAAATGTCAGGTGTGTCACAGAAGAAGGAGGGGGTACGTTAAGGGAGGCAATGACCATCTCTAAAATTTGGAGCCCCCACCCCGACCAGACAGTCTAATCCTCCTGAGCGCAGAGCGTTTGCTTTATTGACATTTACCGGCATTACTCTAGTTATTTGGGATTACCATATTTTTCAGATAATAAGGCAGCCCACTTAAACTCTTTTAATTTTTTCAAAAATCAATAGTGAGCCTTATAATCCGGTGCGCCTTATGCATGAAAACAGACCTGTTACTTTAAATTGCACCTTATAAACTGAATCCGGTGCGCCTTATAGTCTGAAAAATACGGTAATAGAATATCATAAATGTAAGGGAAAAATGCTAATGTTTTAAAACAATTAGTAGTTGTTTTTTTTTTTAACTGGTTTTCATTATAAGTGCCACAGTCTTTCATGCTAGAGATTTTTTTTATCAAAGTCTTTTTTATTAATTTTTTCATTTTGAACATATAAAACACAAAGAACAAGACAAAAAAAAATTCTCCCACCCCTTCCCTCCCACACGTACATAAATAATTAAAATAAACTGCACACGCATTCACAAGTTTTCCACATACAATATAAAAGGCTGCTACGTGTCCCAAAATCTTTTAACAGAACCCTTCATGGTATATCTGATTTTTTTCTAAATTAATATGATACATCACTTCTCTTATCCAATGAACATATGCAAGGGGGTGTGGGTTCTTCCAACTGCACAAATCCAGTCTTCTGGCCAAAAGAGATCCCAAATCAATCACATCCTTCTCGTACTTACTGAAGGTCGTATCCACAGGGACCACCCCAAACACTGAGGTGAGTGGTGATGGATGTACGGTTTTTCCACATCACAGAGAAGGTATCAAATATAGATTGATAAAAAGTCTGCAGTTTGGGACAGGTCCAGAATGCAGGAGTGTAGCTGGAGTTTGTTTACAACAGTTACATGCAGGGTCCAGGTTGGCTTTGATCTATGCCAGAGATTTAAACTAAGATCATTTGATGTAGAGAAGTGACGTCAAACATTAAAAATAACGTTATGCGCAATCTCATGCAGGTCCTCGAGGTGTCATGCTCAGCGTATGTGCTGGAAAAAACTCATTTACTACCACTCAATGTTGATCTAAAGTAAACATCTCGAAAACTGACTCAGTTTTAGCCATCTTTGCGTTTGCTAATGTTGATTAGCTGTGGTGGCCATCTTGATTTGGGTAGTCTCCTAAAGTTAATTAGATACACATGTGCATTCAGTTCTTTCATGATGGTTACAACCAGGTGCTCATGAGACATGTTGCTGACAGACACACATCACAGACAGACAGACGGGAGCAGAAGCATCACCCACCTTTCGGCGACCGATGTTAAAAACTTGAACTTGGATTAAAAAGGTGGACAAGAAGTCAAGGTGAACAGAGTAACGTGGTGCAGAAACCAAGCCAGGTTCTCGGGGGCGAGGTCAGACTTCACTGAGCCGAGTAGACCGCGCTGTTCTCAGTAATAAACTGTAAAATAAGAAACTGAAGCCAGCCTACATGAGAAGGTGACTCTCTTCCACACTGCAGAACTTTTCAGGTAGCTGTAATCCGTGCGATTAAATGACAAGAAAACATCGGATTTAGTGCCGACTGAAATGTTCGCACGCAAAACGTCCTGGTGAGTTTTTCCAACAGGACATCATTTGTCACAGTGCAGATTCCCAGTGTGCAGGTTGCCTACTGGCATCACCCTGCCCCCCCTTCAGTGTGGAGCTTTGTGCTCTTGGAGACCTTCAGCCCACTTGTTGAGACAAACCATTGCACTCGATCAACAATAGCTCAGCGCTAAATGTGAGAATAGTCTAATTTGCTCGAGGCAGAGAGTACCAGGCCTCGTCTAAGTGTGCAGTCATACGGACAGGCCAAGAACCGGCCCGGCCCGACCGCCTCCACTTCACATGAGGAGGAGATGCTTATGCTTCTCTCAGCTCTCTTCAGATACTCCACCGTTCATCTTCGCGTTTCAAACGCGTCTCACACAAACTAGCAAGCAGAAGAGACGCCTCAAAACGCACCAAGAGCCGTTGTGTTTATTAGAAATCGACGCTGAAAAACTTGTAGATAACTGCGGTAAATAAACAACAGCCAGTTGCAGAGAGGGGGAGCAAGGTCATGCAGCTCCTCTGGTCACCCTCTCCTGTGAGGTGATGAAAAGGCAGCGTCAGATAACAGCGCCACGCAAACCTAAAAATATCCCCCCCTCATCTTGCCGTCCACCCACGCTGGAAAAAGAGGGAAGGGGGGTAAACGGGTCAGGATAATCTGCGTTACAGGGTCTTATCTGAAGAAAGGCAGGGGATGCGTGCGGCTCCATCTCTGCCAGCGTGAACAACCGCTGCTGCAGCTGAGGAGACGAGCATCCTGCGGGAACACTGCGTCGCCTTTAAGGCTCACGGAATTAATATGGCACATGTTTTAAATGCACGTACGGAGATGTAGTCCTCGTATAAAAAATATCTAAAAGGAGGGAAAAATCACACAGAGTATATACAGGTGAACATTATTTAATAGCAGTCAGTCAAAACAGTGTTACAGCAATCTAAAGCAGCTATAAATTATACAGTGAGGTAAATATACAGGTTAAAATGAGCACGTTCAAGAAATTTGAAAGTTACTTGCACATTGTGGAAGAAGTAAACACTGTTTAAAACGGTTAGTAAAGAAAAAGAAAGTCCATCTTTCACAGAAATGTTTAGTCCTGTCATTGATCCCTAAAATATTTATCCTCCTTATGATGTCACTTCAGAACACTCATAAGAATGAATAGGATCGTATATTCATTATTACGACGACGTTATAGAAACAGATATTTTCAAGAAAACTAGTCAGTCTGGAACAAAAAACACAAACAAACAAAATACTAAGACTTTACTCAGTTTTTCTTTGCATTCGTTTTTAAATATTTTAGTTTCTTGACGAATGTCACATGAAAAGAACGAGTCAAACTGAGAAATGATGTCATTACATGACATGCACACGACTAAACATGAAGCTCCGACATGTTTTGTGCCAACAACTACTTTATGATTTGTTACTTCTAAAGAAAGAGCGTTTCCTTCAGTGCGATAATAAAAGATTCGACAAACTAGTCGTGCGCAGTTATTGTTTTGTTTGTGAGAGACATTTCCCCCTCGGCAGCTCGGCTTTACATGATGAGCTGCAATCGGTTTCTGGATTTAGAGACGCTCTCTCTACCTGGTCTACAGGAACGGGAAAAGTCTCTTCTTGAGGATGTAAAGAACGGTGGCGAAGAACAGAGCCAGTGCCAGGAAGATGAGCAGTTTATCGGTGAGCTCCCTGCGGTTGTACTTGGTGATGAGTTTCCTCCCGAGCTGAATGGTCCCCGTCATGGTCTTAAACTCCTCGTTCGTCTCCTGGATCGTTCTCGACGAGGTTGCTTTAAACAAATAAGAGGAAACAGTTAAGTTTTTCAAACAATAGGTTTTCATGAATAGAGGGTGACGTCAAACACATATTAATGTCCAAAATGGCGGATTAAAGAGTGGTCAGTTGGAGCTCAAAGGCTCTTATCAAGTTTATGATACCGATTCGGAAAATGTTGGGATGTTGTGTAAAATGTAAAACAGAACGCAGTGATTTGCACATTTTAGAACCTAATTTTTACTTACAATAGAACACAGCAATTATATCAAATGTTTAAACTCAAATTTGTACCAAATCTTTTAGAAAATAAAATCCATTTTGAATTTTATGGCAACAACAGGTTTAATAAAAAAAGACGGGACAGAGGCACAAGGTTATAAAAGTTAGTGGTGTGAATAATAAACAGACAGGGAGCATTTTGCATATTTAGGTTAATTTTGGGCGTTTAAATAGACTTTTAGAGGTTGGATCTTTCAGAAGTAAAGGCCCATAAAAGTCCAAAATCATTGCGCATTTTTATTTTGATTATTTATTCAAAATACAATGAGAGGAGACGTTGTCCATGTCTGTGGAGTGGAAGTTACTGCTGCAGCAGGCGCATGCACCAGCTCGCGGACACGCTCCTGCCAGCAGAGACGCTGACCGACCGCATGTCCCGCGGGGATGAAACGTCTTCATCCACCTTCAGCTGTGTCTCAGAAACCAAAGCAGCACAAACGAACATTTTAACGGCACAAACGCAGCACTAACCACTCATATTTACTGGTATTTTTGATGTGGGTGGGGTGTCGGCTTCACCAAGCTCAGCTGTGCGCCCTGCAGACAGTGCACGTTTTACGCAAATGAGCGTCTCCAGACAGCTCTGCAGAGCGCGCACAACTGCCAATGTGTCAGAACTCCTGCATGCATTTCAAAGATAATAAATAAAAAAAAGCTTACAGTTAAAAAAAAAAATACGAGCGAAATGTTTGATGTGTATTATTCACATTGCACGTTTCAAAATTAGTCAAAATAGCAGGATCAAAATGTCGAAAAGACAGTCCAATTTATTATGTAAAGTAAATGGATGGATTGTCCTTAGCTGGACAACAGAGAATTGAAGGCATTGGTGATAGAGAAGGGAGCAGAGCAGGACTGAATTCAGCTGAGAAGAGTTCGGGTCGGACTTTGAAGTTTGTGTGTGTGTGTCTGTGTGTGTGTGGGAGGGGGGGGTCAGGATGCTTGACAGAATCGGAGCTGATCTATTCACTGCTCTATTAAATAGTAATTTCAATTCAACCTTTATTTATACAGGATGTTAGTCTCATTGAGCCTCATCATTTACAAGAGAGACCTGTTTTTCATTAATTTAATCAAATGTTTACAGATGTTTAACAACCTGTTAAAATACAGCAAAATGCAGGAAATGGCATCTCTTAATCCAAAATTTCTGGGGGAGGACCCACGGACACTGCCCCCCACCCCCACCTCGCCAGACCATCTGCTATTTGTGTTTGGCATCAATTGGTTTACAAATTAAGCCATAATTAAAGCTCTATCACGCACTCCATACATTATTAACATCCAGATGCAGTCGTCTTCTCGGGGTCAAAGCTCCTTTAAAATGCACTGAAGTGGAAAACTGTTCTGCGCTCAGGCAAACTGAACTGTGAGCTTTTCTTTGGAAACCTGGATGTTTTTCATATTAAAGAGGATTAGGAGCATCCAGACTATTATCAGCATACAGTTAAAAAATCTGCCTCTCTGACTGTATGGGGGTGCATTAATGCCTCTGACATGGGCAGCTTACACATCTGGATAGGCATGACAAAGGCTGAAAAGTACATACAGGTTTTAGAACAACGTATGCCCCCATCGGGTAAAGAAACCAGCAAAGACGACACAGGACTGCTAGAATCCTACATCAGACAAGAACGGGACAACATTCCCCTCCAAAAGCTCCAGCAGCTGGTCTCCTCAGTCCAGACAGTTGTTAAAACATGCTTCACATTCACTGGTAAACATATTGATGGTAACATTGAGACGTGTTGCTGCCATAAAATTGAAAAACAACTTGTGTTCTAAAAGGAGCTAAATGCAGAAGATGTGATTTCTTCACTAACCTAGTGTAGTTATGGTGTCCTCACTCTGCTGAACTTGTTGGGACATCATCCGACTGATGCTCATCAGGTTCTCTGTTATGCTGCTCGTGGTTTGAGCGAGGCCCTCTTTGGGCGCCTTCCTGCCATAAAAGTGAAATTAACACTTTCTAAGATTATAAAAGGTGAGGAAACATCATTCTAAAAAGAAAACTAAAGCTATGTGGAGCTGAATGTTCTGAGATATTTTTAAAAGATGACTCTGCAGCCTCACCTCTGCCTCACTGAGCCATCAGCCTCATTAAGAAGCGCCTGCTTTTCCATGTTGTCGATGGACATTTTGCTGGCGAGGTTGGCTTTCCTCCAGGCGGTCTGGTTACTGCAAAATACACAAAGACAAGTACACAAGTGTCTTAATCACAAAGGTGTCCTGGAGTTTTATCAAGCATGGCCACACGTTAAAATAAAACAAAAAAAACAACACATTTTATTTAAAGCAAGATCAAAGAAAGTACCTCAGCATCTGCTTTCGGTGTCCCTCCACCTGAGTGATCAACACCTGCTTGTCTGACTCTCTGTCTTGTTCCATCGCCATCCGCTCCAAGTCCTGATAAATCATCGTTTACGTCACTAAATGTGTTCTCAAAAAAAAAGATACCGCGTTTCTGATGATCTGGGATGTTAGAAAAATTAAGTAATAATTCTCACCTGAATCCTTAATCTGAGGTTGTTGAAATGCTTTTTCATATCCGTGTTTTTTTCCGTCAGCTGGTTCTGAGGCCCGGTGCACTCTCTGATGTCCTGCCGGGACAAAGACAAAGCTTCATGCATCCATCCAAGTATTACTGAGTTTACTGTACCAACAGCATATTGAACGTGACAAAAGTGCTGTTCTCTTTAAGATGAATCACAAGTGAAGAAGGACTTCAGCTCTCCGCTCTGAACTGTTCATTCGTAAAAACATAATATGATAAAATGTAGGAGCAGTTAATGCTCCCATATGGATATTTATTTTTGAAGAAAAGAAACTCTTTGGAGGGAGAAACTAAAACAAATAAATATTGAAAAATACCCTTTGCATGTGACCAGTTCGAAAAATACTTGTTTTTGTTCATCGTAAAATATTTTCAGGACAAATTACAACTAGGTGCAACTAAAGACAATAAATTCAACGGGTCCTCACGAATATAAATATTTTAAAAATAAGAATACAGAACATAAACCACACAAATATGTGAAATAAAAATAAAGCATTGAAATGAAAATATATTTACACAAACCACAATGAAACACAATTCTGAAGTACTAATATTTTACTTAAACATACTTAGTTTCTTAAATGTGTTTAAAAAATACCAGGTTGTACTAATTCACCATATTTAACAACTACAGTTGGAGGTGTACTAACATACTTGTAAGATACTTGTAGGTACTGTAGTACTGTACTTAAGATAATTCAAATACAGTACTATGATTTTTTTAATTGGATCTTCTCCAACTAAACTCGCATGCTCTTATTTTAGTAAATGTTCAAATTATTTAGTCACTAAAAATAAAGGACAAAAATCATTTGACTAGTAAACTTTTTTTTAAATACTTGTACATCACACAACTATCACAATCACACATATGGATTATTTACACTTCTAAAATGTTTTATGAGTTAATAATTACGCAACACACAAGTATTAGAATAATGTGTTTTAATGATGAGAATATGAATTAGGTGAAATGTGATTTCCGGTATTTGTAAATGACTGTACTGTTACTTTAACTACTTCACACGTCATCATGTCTAAAGACGTGTACTTGAATGATGTGCTCGTTTTTTATAACACCTAATTTTTTTACGTTTAGCTCTTACGTTTAGCCAGTAAAAATTACCTTAAAGTGTTTAAAAGCACATTTAACGACGTATTACTTTGCTGTAGTTTAATCTAATCCCATCAACAGACTGTCGGCTTCAGATGAGACCGGTGTAGCATAAAAGCTAACATAAAATAAATTTACAGACCGTTTCAAACACCAGCCGGTCCTACAGGAGCACTGAGTGATCTTACCAAATAAAGATTCGCACCTGGATGAGAGCCTTGATTTCCAAATCATATTTGAGGATTTCTTGCTCACAAACTCGGACGTGGACATCTGAGGACCCCATTCTGCCAACGTAGCCGGTGTTGCATCGAATTGTGTAACCTGCGAAAACTGTTGTGACTGCAGCCGCTCGCCGGATAAAACTACGGAAAGCAGGAAGCTCATTCTGAACGTACACATTCGGCACCGCCTCTGAAAAAGTGGGCTTTTTTTCCCCATCAAGAAACGCACAACTAACTAATTTAAAAGCAACCAACTGAGGAAACATAAAGGAGGTTTTACTTAAATGCATTTGTTTAAAACAATTACGTTTGAGTACTTTTAAATATGACATTGTTCAGCTTCCATTCTAGCACATCAGTTCAGAAATTGGTTTAATAACAAAAATGCAAAAGTTGAGTACAGTATACATTTATTTATTAATTAAATTGCTGATTACGTTAACAAATGGACACAAAAAATTATCAAGCACATCAAAAGAATAATTACATCTCATCCATTACTGACAGCAATATTAAGCACAATGCACACAATATACAAACAAAACAAGTATCGAAGATCCAGAGGCAATTTTTCATCCCATGGAAAATCATGTTGAACCAGAGAGGGCATCACTTGAGAAACGATCACACAGGGGTCTGAGCTTTCAGCAATTTCAGAAGGAATGATCCCTGCAGGAAAACTTGCATTGAAATGCAGCAGTGTCAGGCCATCCGACGACAAGAGAAACTAAAATAAAAAGTTAAAACGCTATAAATGAGCAGCAAATATAATTACATGCAGATTTTAAATAAATAAAAATGTATATATAGTTAGGGTTTAGAAAGTGGAATTACCTGCAAGATGAGGAGTCTTATGTAAATATTACAAAACAAGTTATGGCCATTGACTGCGAAGGTACCAGATAGTGTCGTTGGACAGAGACGGACCAAACAGGGGATTCAGCTGGGACAGAATAGCGATCAACCAGCTGAGGAAGAGAAAATGTACAGATCACAAAAGTCAACACAATATGCTTCACACACTTGAGACCTAACATCTCAGACTTATTACCCAATTTTAATATTGTAAGCTAATGTTTCACTCCTAAAGGGCCGCAAAGCAGCTTTACCTCTACTGCCCTCTTTTGCCCACTGACATGTAACATGACCCACTAACATGTAACATGACACAAGCTGCACACATGCACCAAATTATAGTAATAAATGATTCATCATTGAAACACTAAATTCATCACATCAATATTTTGCAGTGATAGCAACGCCTGCAACTTACTACAGTGAGATGGAAGGCCCAGAAACCAAATAAATATTGAACCGTTTTATTATTTATTTTACTATAATTTTACTTACTTTATATTTTACTTGTTGCTTTATGCCTGCCAAGTATGAACAAAAAAAAAATACAAATAAAAGCAGCATACTAAGGCACAAAGCCCAGTTTGGATTTGCAGAACTTGTTTCTTTCCTCCAAAAGTCTGGGTGTCCTAGTCCTCACTGTGAAATCTTTACAGATCTGTGCATCAGGAAATGTGTCATAATCCCATGATCATAACCCAGATTGTTTCTGCTGTAGTCTGAATTGTTGCAAAGAAAACAAACATGGTGCTGCTGTGAGCGCAGACTACAGGACATAAAAACAAGTTTAATAACTGAGCAGTGATACTTACAAGAGATAGCAGCTGACTGCAGTTAACACCAACATTGTGACAATTACTCTGTGAGGAAAAAGGAGATACGTATTACAGGATCTATGATTAGATGTACAGTAAACAATAAAACTAACTATGAACTTGTGGTTGAAATCTTAGGAATGACAATTTTAGCACAATTTCCATAATCTGACCTAAGCGTAAATTATATATATATATATATATATATATATATACAGTGATGGGAATAACGGAGTACAAATAAACGGCGTTACAAACGGCGTTATTTTTTTCATTAACGGGTACTCTAAGTCGTTACTATGTCTATCGTTACAACGCCGTTACCGTTACAACCACTAAATGGGGTACGTTATTTTGTCGTAAGCTGTTTGTTTACTTTTTTTCCTTGGTGAGGGTAGGAGGGAGGGGTGAAACAATCATATAAAGGATGATGATGATTGGCTAAGGTAGAGTAACAGGTAAAGAGAGGTAAGCCAATCAGAGGTTTTGTTGTTCAGTTCACTCGCAAACCACACGCTGCAGCTCCAAATCTGAAAAGTTAGCAGAAGTCCTGCAGCAATGGCGAGTCCGGAGGGAAAGCTGGCGTTTTCAAAGTGGAAATACAGACACTACTTTACTCTCCTTGAGGTAAAAGGCAAGAACGTGAGTGTGAAGTGTACATTATGTCCCGGAGCGAAGTGTTTGTCTACGTCCGTCGTAAGCAACTCTAATCTGATGAAGCATCTCACAACTGCACATGGTTCAACAAAACTCGTGGCTAAAAACACTGCTGTTGACAGTACTGATGATGATAGCAGACCAGGTGTGGCTAACGTGAGCTCTGCTAACGAAGAAGAACGCGGAGCTACACCGTCCAAGCAGTTAAAGGTGGATTTTTTTGCTCCAGCTTCACAGAAACTTGTGACGCAGAATGAACTAAACCGATTGATAGGCAGGTATGTTGTTGAAAACATGCTCCCATTATCAACAGTTGACTCAGACTCATTCAGAACCCTTATTGGCAAAATACCGGGGAGAGCAGGCGTCGGTCCTCCATGCAGAAAGACATTTTCTAAATACATAGATGCTGAGTACGCTAAAATGAATGCCGAGCTGAAGACTGGATTTGAAGAATTAGAATATGTCTCTACTACTGCAGACATTTGGACTGCACATAATAAAAGTTATCTTGGCGTAACTGCCCACTGGATACATCCACAAAGCATGGAACGAAGAAAAGCAGCCCTGGCATGCAGACGATTTAAAGGTCGTCATACACATGACAGTATTGCAACTGAGCTTGACAACATTCACTCATTCTATGGCATAACCCACAAAATAACATCAACTGTCACGGATAATGGCTCTAATTTTGTCAAAGCCTTCAAGAAGTACCAGCCTGTGGAGGATGATGAGTCTGATGATGATGAAGATGAGGTGACATTTGTGAACATTAATGATGTCTTGCAAAACAGTGTTGGTGATGATGATAATGATGATGTAATTACTTTGCCACCACATCAGAGATGTGCATCACACACTTTAAACCTCGTTTCATGTACTGATGTTGACAAGTGGATACTGTCAAGACCAGAAACAAAAGCAATATACAGGAGTGCTACAACCAAATGCACAGCTTTATGGAACAAGGCTAGCCGTTCAACTGTGGCTGCAGAGACTGTTGATGATGTAATCGCAAGGAAGCTGCTAGTCCCTTGCAGTACAAGATGGAACTCGTTTTATGATGCCCTTGCTCGCATCTGTGAGATCCCTATAGTTGCACTGAACACCATCTCTTCCGAGTTTGTTTTGAAAGCCATCACAGAACGGGAGCATCAGTTCCTCAAGGAATACTGTATGGTAATGAAGCCACTAACAGTAGCCTTAGACATACTTCAGGGAGAAGACAACTGTTTCCATGGCACACTCCTACCCACACTGGAGACATTGATGTTGAAGACCCTGGACCTGAAGAGTGGTCTGCAAATCCTCGTTGACCTTCCAGAGGCAATTGTTACAGTAAGAACTAATATATATTTTTAAACACATAATGAAAAGATACAATGTAAAATTAAATATATTTGTAAACTTACAATGTGTAATGCTGTGTGTGTGTGTGTATGGATAGTCAGTATAATATTTACTTTGTATATCATTGCAGGCTATCAAAACAAGATTTGCAGAGGTGCTGGAAAGTGAGAATGCCGTCTTGGCTGCTGTGACTCTGCCCAAGTTTAAACTACGTTGGCTGCGGATGCAGGACAGGAAGGACAAGGCCAAGGCAAGTCTGCTAGCAGAGTGCCGGAAAAGTGCTCAAAATGAAGACCAGCGAACAGGTACTACCATCACACCAGCATGCACTGAGTCAGCCATGGAGGATGAGTTCTTCTCCTTTGAGGATGAGGATGACACCTCTGCTACTGCTGAAAGCCAAGTTGCTGATTATTTCAAATCAGGAGCACAAGGGATGGACAGTCTTAATGGATTTCCACTTGTAAAGAAAATTTCACTCAAATACAATGCAGCCACTCCATCTAGTGCCCCTGTGGAAAGACTGTTTAGCTTAGGGAAGCTTGTCTTCACTCCAAAGAGGAACAGACTTTCTGACCAGAAGTTTGAAAGGCTTCTACTTCTAAGATACAATCACTGGTTTAAGGGGTAAGATGGTCAGCAGATGACTGGGTTGACTGAGTGGATAAATGAATCCATCTATGCATGGATAGTTTAGTAGCTAATGTTGGGTTTTTTCAGGTAATTCAGATTTTCAGTACTGTTTTAAAAGTACTTCGTATTGTTAAAATGGTTATTTTGTTTTTAAGAAAATACTTGAAGAACCAGTTGTGTGAGGGTTTGATTTTATTTTACACTACAGAGTTAAAACACTTATTTTAACTGTTTACTTTTATTTCTAAGAAAACACTTGAACAGTACAGTGTGTACATAAAGCTAAAAACACAATTGTTATGTTATTTTGTTAAACTGTATTTTTGTAATGAAGAAAAAACTTGAAGTATAGTATGTCAACCAGTCATGTTCTGTTGAGGTGCAGTAAGTATTAAAAGTTTTGTGTTAAGTACTTGTCTTTGCAATTCTACTTTAAATTCGTAGATATATCTCAACTTAAACCAAACAAACAAACAATAGTTACTTTAGTTACTTTCCCTGGTAACTAATTACTTTTATAGGGGAGTAATTCAGTTACTAACTCAGTTACTTTTTGGGAGAAGTAACTAGTAACTATAATTAATTACTTTTTAAAAGTAACATTCCCAACACTGTATATATATAAAAACTTCATCACACTTTCACAAACTTAGCTTCTCGTTAGCTACTTAGCTGCTACTAACTTTTACAAGTTGTTTGAACTTTTTTAACTTTCTGACTAACTTTAAGAATCGCGTTTCATGTCCAAACACAATATCTTGCTTTATAAAATAATGTAAAATATATGTCTTTACCTTCAAACACGGCGCTACATTTTAAATTCGCTCACTTTGACAAAGGAAAGCTAAGCCGAGCTAACTCACCCTCTGTTTGGTCCTTTGGGGATGAACCAGGGCACAACTCCTCCAACAAGAGCCCAGAACAGGGTCATTACAGAGATGGTGATCGCAAACCTCTGGTCCGTCATGGTGGGAGCTCTGTTAAAAACAGAAAGGTCTAAAAGGTTTAACTTTTTAACTAGCGATAACTTCAGAGTTGTGCCTACAAAATACCCCGTGACGTAAGAGAAGGCAGCACGTGTCACATGACTGACAGAAAGCGGAAGTGCAGCGAACGACTCTTTTGGACGTGGCTATTTGCTGGACTATCTCATAAAATCCTCCTCAAAAGAACCTCATTTTTTTTTAAAGCAAAGTGTCATTGTATCATTTTCTTTTGCTCCTAAATGCTATAATTTTACATATCCTTTAAAGCGCCTCAAAACGTTTGACAGTTGCATTATTTCCACCCAAAATACCTGCACAAATCCAGGGTGTATACAGGCTTAACATTCCCATAGTATAATTTTAAGGGTATTTTATTTCAATTCAGTTTATTTTTAGTGCCAAGTCACAAGAGAAGTCATCTCAGAGCACTGAACAGAAACATTCATACACATATATAAAAACTGTTTAACTTTACTACAAGGCATTCATCCAAGCACTGAACCCTGAGGAACTCCCATGACTTAACTTTGGTGTATGAAGATTCATTATTTACATTTACAAATTGTAATACACAAAATAATCGGAATCTTATCAATTTGATTAGTTTTAAAAAGTATATAATTTAACCAATCTGAACAGAGTAGTTTACTGTACATCTATATTGTTCCGTTTCAGTTAAATTGCTATTTAATCCTGCAAGATCCTCACAAAGAACTTTTTTTTTTCTGGATTTAAACAAATTCCTAAAATCAATTTCACCTTTTAACCTTCCCATATAAATTTTGATTGTTTATAGTTAAATTTTTTATGTAACAGTACTAATAAACAACTTTCTTCTTTTTAATGCTTTAAAATCCAAAATATTTGTCCCCCAAACATCCATACTTTGCATGATGAAAACATGACAAACATCCCATGATTGATAAAAGTGCTTTGTGCCCTCATTGCTTAAAATAAGTTTATTTTTTCACACTACCTGGGTAACCGGTTCATGATTCTAAATTTATACTCCAAAATGTTTGATAGAACATTTTACACATCTGAACTAAAGTTGGAATTATAATTCAAAGCACTGTATTTGTAGTCGATCTAAAATGAGTGTTTGTTTTGAAAATGTTCTCCTTTAAATATATATATATATATATACCAGTACCTTAAAAAATACACACAAAGTGAGATCCATTTACACAGTTTATTGTTAGCAAAAGATTATTTTCAATCCTGCATCTTCTCAATGGTCTCCTCTTTGTATTTGCCCTTCTCCTTTCCAACGGCGCGAGACTTGGCCTTGCGTTCTAGGATCTTCTTGCGGTCCTTGTCAAGCTTTAGCCTGGTGATAACCACCTGCACACCAAGATAAAAACAGAGGCTGGTAAACAAAATTCTCAGAGTCGAACCAATCAAAACAATTTGGCACTGAACTGACACAGCTTCTGTGCTGTGAATGCTCACTCTGTTTATGTCCAGGCAAAACAAAAGCTGTATTTAAGAACAAAAACATTTTTACCTAGGATGCAACACGGCTGAGGTTTATGCAAAGTTATACGTTTTATTTAAAAGGAAAAAGTAGCACACTAATCCAAATTATGTTAAAACAAATTCAGTCTGTTGTTAGATTTTACTGTTAATATCAAACAGTTTTCACTTATTTAGGCATATATTTACCCAGACTGTTTTGTACATGTTTTTCTTTCAACAAACATTTAAGCTCCAGGAATTTAAAATGGACATTTATATGTTTATGTCTCTAAAACTCAGTCTCAGCTAACCAGTGATCCCTCAAACATGGCTGAAAAACATAAAAGGTCGAGCTTTCAGTAAAATTCCTGACAAACGTCTACTTTAACATTTTGTAACAAACAAACAAACAAAAAAAAATACAAATAAACATTTAAAATTAAGCCCAACCTTAAAATCAAGTTAGAAATTTGTCCCATAAAATCTGTCAAACAATTCACCCAAAACAAAAACAGTCATATATACGAGTTAAATTATTTGTACCAACTACAATTTTCTACCACACAAAGTAAGTAAGTGCCATGTGTTGTCATCATTGTATGTTCCCATTCAACGGTGAAATTAGTTCTCTGCATTTAGCCCATCACACCTGAGATACACCCAGGTGGAGCAGTGGGCGGCCATGTAAGCAACCAGGGAGCAGTTAGGGGTTAATGTCGTGCTCAGAGACACCACCACCTGTGGACAGGGCGAGGAGTTGACCCGTGACTTTCTGCTCCCATGTCTGCTGCCCTACCTCTACCCCATCTCGGCCCCAACTTAAGAAGCTGAACTAAAATGTTAGGCTTTTTTTTTTTTTTTCATTTAGCCTTTATTTATCCAGGTTAGTCTCATTGAGCCACGAGAACTCATTTTCAAGAGAGACCTGTTTAGGGAGCACATGGTGGGGTTAAGGGCCTTGCTCATGGGCCCAGAGTGGGGCGAATGAGGGTGGGGGCAAGTGTGGGTGTTTCACCTACCCCACCCACAATTTTTGATGTTGTCGGGGCCGGGGCGTGAACCGGCGATCTTCGGATCACAAGCCCACCTCTCTAACCTCTGCGCCACCACTCCCCACATAATTTTTAAATTATTATTATTATTATCAATTCAATTCTAGCAGTTAAAACTAAAATACAGGTTACCTTCTTTTTAAAGATTAACAAAATGCATTTATTATAAAAGATTGATCTGAAGGGAGTATAAACAATATGTTTAGGATCAAAAAGCTCAGCATGATTTCTGGTGACTGTTTTCTTAGACCCTTGTTCATCACGTAAGATTTGTCATTATAACGCTGCTGATCAACACAGCATTGTTCTGTAGATTTACACGTTTACATTTCATTAAAAATGTATATTAGGGATTCCGCACAACATTATCGGCATGGTATCCGTATTGGCCGATATTATTGTTAAATTTCAATATCGGACATTCCATTAAAATAACTTGCCGATATAAGCAGCAGCACAACGTGATGACGTCACATGCGTCTACCTGATCTCATGGTGGAGAGGAATATTCAAAATGTCGTGATGTGGACGTTTTTGTCATTGGTGAGGAGGTCAGATTCCGAAGATTTATGGACTACGTTGAACCTCGCTACATCGTCCGCAGTCAGAGATATTTTTCCAGCGTAACGTTGCCAGAGTTACAAGGCGTCATTTCCAACATCATTGAGAAGCTAATAGCCGATAGCACGACTTGTTGGGTGAGTTTTACCACAGACATTTGGACGTTGTGTTAGCCCTGTTAGCATGATTAGTCTTACGGCACGATGGGCAGACCAAAACTTTGAACTTAAAAAGGCTGTCCTTCATGCACAGGAGTGCAGAGGATTCCACACTGCAGCTAGAAACATGGAACAAGAGACAGCATCGCAGGTGACTAATGCTAATAAACAACATTTAACACCTTTCATTTAATAGAAGTTAAAGTGCTATGCATATCATATGGCTGTTGCTGAATATTTGTCACCAGCTCTTACAGCTGTTACACAATTTTTGCAGCAAATAAGCCTAAATAAGAGGGCTATGCTCTGAAAGGAACGTATATAAAATATCGATATCAGCATGGGTTATCGGTCGAATAAGTGTTAACATATCGGATATCGGCCAAAAATCCAATATCGTGCATTCCTAAAATATATCATATCAGTCAGATCCAGGGATGATGTGCATGCTGATTTTCCTGTAAGTTAAAAAAATAATAAAATTAAAAATCTATAAAAATGTGCATTTTTGCAGAAACCCCAATTTCATCTTAGGGTAATAAACAAAAACAATAAACGTTTTGAAAATACAGCTTTAAATACACAACTATATGTGAGCCTGCACAAAGCTGAAGGTTTAATAAAAATGTTGATAGAGCTGAAAAAATATGGTTGTTCGATATTTAATAATTGCAGTTTGAAATAAAACATTCATTTATTGGTCCCTCAGTTTTTAGCATTCCTTTTGATAACATTTGTTGGTAAATCTAACCTTTTATCATTCTTTTAACTTTTTATCCAACAAGTAGTCTGATAATAATAACACCCAAATTTCATTGCATTTAGGTGCAATGACAATAAGGTGTGTTCTATAACATTCCCCATGGCTTTAGCGACTGTGTGTTTTGTCAGTAGAATAATGAAAACAAATAATTGGATGCAACCCTAGTCATAAAAAGCAGTTTGGGATTTTTAGCCAATAAAAGGTTTTACTTATCTGAAGTTAAAAGAGTTCAAAATAAGTTTTACCTTTGAAGGTGAGAGCCTTTGATTGCATTTATTTAAAAATAACTTGTTCAATTTGACAAAGGAAACAAAGTCAACAGGAAACATTGTGTGCAGTCTGCAGACAAAGCCTGACTGAGATAGAGGCTGCGCCCCCACTGCAGGTCCAAATTAATATTTTGTCCATATGCGACTAGTACCCGATCATTTGAACATCAGAATGTGACAGAGCTCATTTTTACAAATCCAACAAGTCTCTCTCACAGGTGCTTCTACATCAAATTCCTATTTGATGTTTTTCAAGGCGACCACAAGCCAATCAGTCATGTTGCATTTCATTAAACTTTTCTGGCGCTGAAGAAAGCGTATGCAGATCATTTCAAAAACGGACATAAATCCAACACTGTGCAGTTTAAAGCACAGAACTACACATGTCCAGTTAGTCTTTTTTTTCTCTCCACGTTTTAAATTTGTCTTGCTTACTTCCAGTTTGTTGCTTCCATTTTACAATTACAACTCTACGCTAGAGCAGGTGGGAAACTGCAAGACCAAATGTAAACATTGGACAAAACCATGAGGTCAGATAAATTAGTAGGTTCTATTGCACAAGAATTGATGCGCATGCTAACATGAGCAGCATCCATATTTCCTTCTGAAACAAGAGCGTGCAATATCATGCCTTTCTGCTCGTGAGTAGCTTCAAGGTCGTAGAAGGATCACCCTGGAGTCTGATGACTGTCGTATTTAAACTGTAATGTGAACAGCCACGATAAAAACTGGATGCCAGGAAAGGGGAAAAAGTAAATATATGAACTGAGTGTTAAAATCTGCAGTGTGAATGTAGCTCAAATGTCACTGGTGAA